ATATTGTCATATTGTGTTGTGTTAAAATTGTTAGTAACTTAGAAGTTAAAAGTGTATACTGTTTATGAACCAAAGACAGTTTGCGTGTTAAAACCCATCAATGCTAAGAATATTATAACCAAGCTTCACCTTTAATCCATTTTAGTTTTCAACCAACTTTTATTTTACTTAAAGGGACTGTCGACGTAAAACTTTAAAGAGTCTCAAGTGTACCTTTAACAGTGCTCTGACATAGGGTTTATTGAACAACGAGGAGTAGTTAAACAAGGTTTGTCTAGTTAAACTTATTCTCTGCATGGTAAACACTCGGTTCGACTCAGAAATTAGGGTTTCCACGAAACAGAAGATTCTCTTGCGCAACAGTTTCGTGTTTTTGCACGAAATGACTTTTTTGCACAGTAGTGCGTGAAATCGCGCTTTCATTCGAAATAAATCATGTTTTTTGGGCGAAATTGCACATGAATAAAGAATTTAAGTCAAAGTGTGTGCATTATTTTACAAGGTCATTGTTTTTGCACGAAATTTGGCAATGCTCATTATAACGAAAAATTGGAATCTGTGTATACAATGTAATAAGTAAGTAATTATTTATTTATGAAATATAACAAAACATAAGGAAAATAAGAAAAAGGTGTGACTTAGTTTCAGTAAAATACAATTCTTTCATAGCTGCAGTATTTTATTCATGAGCAATTATCACATTTTTAATTATTATCATATTTATAGTTTAGACTCTGTTAAAATTTTGGTTACTTTCATTAATAAACTTTTTCATGATAAATATGTTTTGAGAAAACGCTAAAAAGATGCCATTGTAGGTGTAGGTGAGTCTCAGTCTTACTGATGAAATCTTCGTATTAGTCTAAAGATTTGTATTGTATACATTTTTTTTGTTTGTCTGTCTGCTTGTTTGTTACCCATCTCCGTCGGCTGGACCAAATTGTCTAAAATTTGTGTGCAAGAAACCCTGAGAGATTAATTCATTCATTTCCTGATATTGTTTCTCAAAATTTACGGAAATAGCTTTAAATAATGAAATTGGTTGAAAAAACGAATTACGCAAAAAGCAAGATTTTGTTCAGAATATACGCAAAATAGCTTTTGGGCCTCAATGCACAATTATATCGAAATTTCGTGCAATTTTACTCGAAACGTTCGAAAACTATTCGCAATTATTGCACGATTTTCGTGTAAATAGTTTCGATTGGAAACCCTAGTCAGAACAGAATACAAGTTAAACCATGCGTACTGATTTCAACTACGCTGTTATAAAAAGTCACCGCTCCTTAAAAAAATGTATTTGAAAAAGATTCCTTAGATCGTCTCTTAGAGAATACAGATTGCAAGCAGCATGCAGACTTCCAGATCAATTAAATGGGACAGTTTACAAATTTCAACAAAAAATACATTGAATATATTTATCTAGAAGGCTCAGAAAAGTTTGACCATTTGTAATTTAAATCATTTAATTTTTCATATTTGAATTAGTTTGAAATTGATAGTCGAATAATGAATAAGGATATTTTTGTTTAAATTTGTAAACTTTTCTTTAAAATGATATACAAAGAATAAACCAGGTTTTGTTTATATTATATAGATATAGAATTATAAAATGGGAGAAAAAAGGTTTAAATATTACCTCTCTATCATCCTAACCATTTTGTAGATTAAAAACTTGGTTAATTGTAATAATTTTGTAAAGTTGGGTCAATTTTACAAAAAAATATGTTTACAACAAAAATTAAACTTCATAAAATTCTGCCTTTTAATCAAATAAATAAAAGTATGAATTGGTTAATAAAGAATTTTCACAACACCAAGTAACATGAAATAAAAATAATTATTTTCAGTTCACAATAATTCTGAACAGTTGACAACAATTTGACATTAACAACAAACTAAAGGAACTAAGATTCTGCCACAATTCAAACTCAAATAATCCCTATATCTTTGCAACCTGATGGTGTTAACCTGCCACAATTCAAACTCAAATAATCCCTATATCTTTGCAACCTGATGGTGTTAACCTGCCACAATTCAAACTCAAATAATCCCTATATCTTTGCAACCTGATGGTGTTAACCTGTCATATTTCAAAGTTAGGCTATAGTTTCAAATATCAATTGGTCTACGGTATCGGGTTGCAAAGATAAAGGGATTGCAAAATTCTAGTTTGTGGCAAAAACTCATTTTCTTTACAAACAAAAAATAAACTTAATTCAAAGAACAAAGTCAAAAATTTCATCATTTTTAACCTTAGATTTGACTTGGTTTGGCAAAAATTAAATTGTAAATTAAAAATATTAAAAAAAAAAAATTTATCGAAATTTAAATGAAAATTCTCACCCTGAGGTTACGATGAAACAATCCAGCTTATTCCATGTTTCTGATAGATAACAGCCTCGTCCGAATACTCCCAGAGCAATCTTAATTTAGATAATTATTCTATCAATATTGTTAAAGAAGAAAGGAACCACCCAAAGGTGGATATCAATATTCTAGTATTCATCAAGTCTCACACCAATATAAGAACAAAATAGTTGAACATTTCTATTAAAAGTGAAACAACTAAAAGAAACAAAGCCAATGTAGATATTCTGCTACTACAGTTTCCTCGGATCACTGGTTGGGTTTCAGGGAATAATCTCCATTCAGAGTCACAGGTTGGGTTTCCTGTGTGCTTAGTGATGGGTTTCCTCTACTCTTCTCCATTCAGAGTCACAGGTTGGGTTTCCTGTGTGCTTAGGTATGGGTTTCCTCTACTCTTCTCCATTCAGAGTCACAGGTTGGGTTTCCTGTGTGCTTAGTGATGGGTTTCCTCTACTCTCCTCCATTCAGAGACACAGGTTGGGTTTCCTGGAAAAATCTCCATCCAGAATCACAGGTTGGGTTTCCTGTGTGTTCAGTGATGGATTTCCTGTATTCTCTCCATTCAGAGTCACAGGTTGGGTTTCCTGTGTGCTTAGTGATGGGTTTCCTGTACTCTCTCCATTCAGAGCCACAGGTTGGGTTTCCAGTGTGCTTAGTGATGGGTTTCCTGTACTCTCTCCATTCAGAGTCACAGGTTGGGTTTCCTGTGTGATTAGTGATGGGTTTCCTCTACTCTTCTCCATTCAGAGTCACAGGTTGGGTTTCCTGTGTGCTCAGTGATAGGTTTCCTGTACTCTTCTTCATCCAGAGTCATAGGTTGGGTTTCCTGTGTGCTCAGTGATGGGTTTCCTCTACTCTTCTCCATTCAGAGTCACATATATAACCGGATATTAAAATATGTTTTTGAAAAAAAACTGTTGCCCAAAAGGTAGATTTAACAAAATGTATTTTAAACCTGGCACAAGAACCATTGATAGATGAGGTAAAAAATATAAAACTAAATCTTGACAAAGGAAAATATTACTGTCATCTTTGCAACTTTGGACGAGATTAATAAATAGCGAGACATAGTTGAACCTTACAACAAGTTTAACCTATCTACTCGGTTCAACTATATAATTTGATCTACTCGGTTCAACTATATAATTTGATCTACTCGGTTCAACTATATAATTTGATCTACTCGGTTCAACTATATAATTTTATGATGTACGTCACAGACATGTCATAATTCAAACCATTCTTCGATTATCCCAGATCTAATTGTTAAAGTTTACAAGAGTTTTACTTATAATAAAATAAACAATTACCATCTTAATCATCATCTCTACCGAGAAATACGCATAGATTACGTCATCACAAATCTAGAAGAAAAAATGTTAAAGAAAAACTTATTTTTTAAGTACTTTTAAAGGGACTGTAAGCGTAAATTCAAGATACCCTCCATGGAAATATGGCAATGCCCGATTTACAACGATGCCCTTAAGAGCTTTTCCTGATTAATTATAAAGAGAATATCTATATATAAATTTGGCTTGTCTGTCTGTCTGTCTGTTTGTATCCAATAAACGTCAAAACGGCTGAACCGATCGGTCCCAAATTTTTTGTGGGACATCTAGGGACCCCAGGGAAGGTTTATGAATGATTGAAATTTTAAATATTTGTCTCAATCAAAATTCGATCTCCATTAATTTTTTAAAATTTTGAAAATCCACGAAATTTTTTGTGAAAATCCGCGAATTATTTTTGTTTTGTTTTACGATGTACACAAAGAGAACATGTTCACAATTAATTTAGAAGAGGGGCGCGAAGCGCCCTCTAAGGCTAGTATATATACATTTTTATTTTTAACCATTTTATTTTCATTATGTGGTTTCTCTGCAAAAATGGCTTACGCATTTCTTGCTTATAAGAAATGATGGAGAAGTTATCGCAATTAACACTTATTTGATATCAGAGAAAGCTAGGTTTTAAGGGTACCGTTGTAAATCGGGCATTGCTTTCGTTGTCACTTTAAATTACAGTGTCCGAATTTAATGAATTTAAGCCGCGTGTCAAATCCCCCAAAAACCGGTTTCAATTGAGCACCGGCTTAAATCTTGAAAAATTTAATACAAAATTAAGTGGAACCACCAAAATTTGGCCTCAGTTCCTTTTTAATTGTATGACATGTAAACAAATTATAATGTAAAAATACTACAACCAGTGTCCAAATTTAATAAGTTAAAGCCGCGTCTCAAATCCCCTAAAAACCGGTTTCAATTCAGCGCCGGCTTAAATCTTGAAATACAATTTTAAATGGAACCAGCCATATTTGAGCCGCGGCTTAAATATAAACAGCGGCTCAAATTCTTTAAATTTGGCCACAGGGCCGGGCGTCATAGCAGGGATTATTCAGTGAGATGAATAGTTCACAGCATGGCAATAAACCTATCCCCTGAAGTTTCAGTATTTGTAGGTTATTCTTTTTTAAACTTTCAAGGTTTGCAAATTAACCAATTGTTTTCATTTTTGTTTGACAGCTTTATTCTTTTTTACAAAATAATAAGAACAAACTTAAACATAAAATACGCTTTTTGAAATATAAGAAACATCTCAGATTCCTGTTCAGCCTGTTAAAAGATAAAGTGATATAAAACTAGAAAAAAATTGTAAAACATCTTCTTGTTTTTACCTTCAGAAGTTTGCAGTTTCTCCCACATTCAGGTTGTCCTGTTGGGTTTAATCAAAATTTTAAAGAGAGCAGTTTTTTAAGAATTATATTTGAGGCAAAGGTAGGATTTGATTAATAGAGAAAAGTATTACTCTGTCAGCGCAGTTTCGTTCAGACTTTAAACTATCTGTACCTACAAACCATCATTTATCATATTGGCTTATCTCCAAACTTGTACGCCAAAATACGCACACAATACTCAAAAAACCTAGTTTTTTCTGCAAGCAAATTTTTATATTAGCCTTACACAATTTTTTCAAATGATTCTTAAATTTTCTGATTAGTCCCGAAAATCGTAATTTACGATCCAATATGATATGTGGGCACCCTGTAGTTGGTTCGTCTACTTTTCGGAGCTTTTTATATATTTCAACCCCTGAAACTAAAAGTGGTGAATTAGACGTAGATAATCCATCTCTCTTGTGCGCCGGTAAAAGTTACGAGAAATGGTATAGTTTCTATTACACGATATTCATTATTTGCGAAATAAATTTCGAAATAAAAAAATCGCATATTTGGCAGCAAAAGTTTAATGGCTGCGAAAAAAGTGACAAAAATCGCTTTTAATAAACAGCAAAAGTTATATAACTGCCAAAGAAGTGTTTCTGTTGTTTAATATAAGCAATTTTTGTCTCTTATTTGGCAGCCATCCATATTTTGCTCACAAATATGCAATTTTTAATTCTTCGAAATTTAGAGTCCTGATAAACAATAAATTTAATTTCATTATAAATCTTGAATATTCCTGTATCAGGGTCTAGAGGTGGGCAGGGTTCATACATGCCCAGGGTTATACAGTTAAATAAAATAACAGTCATGGTTAATCTCTCAAACCACCTAGATAATTAAACAATGCTTTAGATCATTATATAGAGTTAATGGAGTTTTTGACACAAATTCTAATTTTCTAATTTCTGCAAACATAATATATATCTGTGCAACCCAATGTCGTAGACCTTAGATATTCAAACTAAGAATTCTGTCAACTCAAATAGTGTAAAGGGATTAGAAAATTTGAGTTTGTGGCAAAGACTCAATTCCTTTTTATTCCTTTGTCTTTACGATGTTACGACCAAAATCTCTGTCTATAGGTGCATAATTAGGACTGGAAAAAGTTCTTTTATATAACGAACGAAAGATTTGAACATTTATAGAAATTTATTTATTTATTTATAGAAGGAACGCAATTATTAGTAGAAAATAAACGTTTAGTTTATGGGTATATCTGCTACGTTAATTTAACTATCAGCAAATAAATGCCAAAACTTATGCTTATTTTTATCTTTCATTATAATTGACAAAGTTTTTGCAGTTATTCAGAATTGTATTATAGTTCAAATTTTTGTTGTTAAAGCATTAAACAGTATTTTCTAGTTTTAAATCTATTATACTAGTTAGTTGCAAAAAAGATATTATATTATTTCATAATCAGAGAACCTAATTTATCTCAGAAAACTCTAAAGATACGCTCGTCTAAAATTTTTAAAAATATTTCCATGGTTAAAATGCGCGAAAATAACTAATAATAAAAAAAAATAATAGAAAACTTCTGATTAAAATATTTTATGGCATTTCTAAAAACTATATTTAGTAGCCAGGGGTATTTTAAAATCAGAACTAGATAATGGCATAAAGGGACTATACATGAAATTCTTAGTGACCATACGATTCATTACGATGCTATTTAAACCTGCATGTAACACTGAGGAAAATATTGTTCAGATTTTTTAAAGTTATCGTTGTGAGTCCTATATCCCAATCTATAACAGAAGGTCACTTGAAATCATGTCTATAACAGTCACATAAATGCAAGGTTATAATGCAAGGAAAGTTAATTGCAGTTGCGTATATTCTGCGCGCATATTGAAACCAGTTCTCTCTTGGCGGTATTTGTAAACAAGAATAGATGCATCAATGTTCGTTTAGTATCTGAGGAGGTTTAAAGCATTAAGTTTTGATAATTCATAGAATAGTTTCCTATGACCAGAATGATTTTTTATGTGAAAGATGGATCCCATGCCAGGCTTCGACATCCGTCTTGTGTTTACATTGCCGCCCAGAGACAGTACACTGCAGTACAAACGATGCGTACACCTCTGAAATAACTTTCCTTGCATTAAAACCTTGCTTAAATGGGACACTATTGTGAAAAACTTATTAAAGGGAAAATAAAAAGAATTAAAAATACTCACGGATTCAGAAGGATTTTGATGCAGATTTTACGAATTGGGTTTTCCAGAGTTATATACTTGAAGGAGGTTTCAGAGAACTGTGGTAGTACTCCATCCACCTCAACTCCTATATAGAAAAAATGCATATTATATACTTGAAGGAGGTTTCAGAGAACTGTGGTAGTACTCCATCCACTTCAACTCCTATAAAGAGCAAAGGCACATTATAAACATGAAGGAGGTTTCAGAGAACTGTGGTAGTACTCCATCCACCTCAACTCCTATAAAGAGCAAATGCACATTATAAACATGAAGGAGGTTTCAGAGAACTGTGGTAGTACTCCATTCACCTCAACTCCTATAAAGAAAAAATGCACATTATAAACATGAAGGAGGTTTCAGAGAACTGTGGTAGTACTCCATCCACCTCAACTCCTAAATAGAACAAATGCACATTATATATTTGAAGGAGGTTTCAGAGAACTGTGGTAGTATTCCATCCACCTCAACTCCTAAATAGAACAAATGCACATTATAAGGTTTCAGAGAACAGTGGTAGTATTCCATCTACCTCAACTCCTATATAAAGCAAATGCACATTATAAGGTTTTAAAGAATAAACAATTCTTGTCCTATTTAACAGGGTTTGAAAGATTTTATGGCAAAGACAATAAGATAACTCAATAAAATACAACAAACGCCTCAAAAAAAAAACAGAATAAAAAAACAAAGAAAACATCATATAAGAAAAAAATATATCAATACCAGAGAAATCAGAAAATTTCAGAAATACAGAAAACTTACAAGCTTATTAGAAAAATACCAGAAATATCGGAAACTTATTTAAGCTAAATAGGAAAATACCAAAGATATCGGAAACATAAACTGAAAATTATAGGAGATACCAGAAAATTACTTGTGAGAAAACAAGAAAAAATACCAGAAAAAGGAAAGCACCGGAAACCCCAAGAGACAGTACCAGGGATACCGGAACTGAATCCGGCATGAGAAGGAAATCAATAAACCTGGTCTAGAAAGAGAGGAAATGTTTAGAAATGATCTGTAGAATTTAATTATGAATATCTGAATTATATATATATATATATATATAAATAATAATAAAAGTCTCTGTCTTGTTGGTTTATCTCTGATC